GTAAAGAGTGATGTGACATCAAAAGAGACCATTGTTTCATCAGTCTCCATGATGACATCCCTCACCTTGCCCACAAAGTCCATGGTGTTCTGTATGTGGTGTTCTGAGCTACCAACTAAAGGGATGAGTACAGACGCCAGATATTTGGAAACATTGTAAGTGACAGAGTTAATCATACTAACAATTGGTCTTAAAGGTACACCTTGTTTGTGGATTTTAGGTAAACCATACAGACTAGGTGTGGCCTCCCCTGGGTACAGCCTGTGGTACAGAATACGGTCAATAGCCTTGTCCTGCAAGTGTTACTTGTGTAGGTAAAACTAGATGTTAAATAACTTGTTAAAATACTCCAGAATGCAGGAAATGGCATCTACTTTATTCAAAAATTTCTGGGGGAGGACCCACAGACACCCCCCACCAGTGAGTCCTCATCACATTACAGTCAATGGCCATCATATTGTTCAAGCCAAGAGCCATTATCAGTGCTGGGGGCTAAGCAACCTTCAAAGGTCATACTGTAGAATCGCCCCTGATCACGGCCATCTTAATATAGATGCTTTAAAATGAACGTTTACACCAAGACTGGTATTACCGGGTTACTGTCCCCACCACAGAGCGATGAGAGGGAACTGGATCCATCCGTACATATGGTGAGCATGATGACTTGAAAAATAAGTGAGGTCCTGACTTCCTGTTTGGTGTGTGGCTGCATCTATCTGTAAAACTGGTCACTTTCCACAGCTGGGTGGCCACACTAAAGCCAAGATGGCCACTACCATATGTATATGCAAACTGACCTCTGTCATTTGAGAAAAATAGCTAGTTTTTATTTCTCCTAAAAGTTTCCTCAAAATGACTGAGTCAAAAATAAGCAATGTTTCTAAAACTCCTGATGTTCTGTCTGTGAGAATTCAAGTGTTTGTGTGTTATAGTGTTTGTGTTTGGATTATTGAGCATGCATCAGGATATCAAGTGTTTGTTCTTCATCATAAATATCTGCAAATTCAGATTCTAAAACAAATAGTAGTAAATAAACAAGGTTTTGGTTATCAGCATATTACTGAGGTAACTGTACTGTGATAAATGTAGAAATGATGAAATAGGAAAAATAAATTATATTTAACCACTAAAGGGGCTGAAATCTTTAAAATACAATCCAATGAATTTGAGTGAAATGAAAAATGTTTTAACGTAGGAATCTGTCAGTCTGGGAATATAAATGTATTTTTTAAGTTATTTTGATCTGTACAAAGGACTATCTGTGCTATAATTTTTAAAAGACCCCTCTCATGAATATAACTGTTATATAAAAGTAAAAACTTCCTTACTGTGTCAACTTTTAGGAGTTTTATTACAGTAATCACATTTTGACTCATGAATGTCACACTATGAGTGTTGCTTTGTGTGAAATTCTAATTTATGGAGTTTCTTGTCTCTTAAAGTGCTTTAACATTAAAAACCTCATGACCGCTAACAACACAGGCTAACTAGATAAACAGACACACCAATCAATATAAAATCTGTCATTTACTTTTCATATCTGATCATTTATTGAACTACATTCATTTAAAAATGTTTCAACCTTCTGAAAATAATAATAAAGTTTTAATCTATAAGGAGAGACTTTGAAGAAGTTCTTCAAGACCTAACAGATCTGTTTCTCTATAGTTCTAAAAGCCGGTGGGACTAACAAGTTGATTTATTTATTAATTAAAGGTAATAGTGGCTTTCATTCTGGTGCAGCTTTTAATTTTAAAGGTGCAGTTATTAACGGTTGTTACAGAAGTGCTGCTAGAAACTTTCATAAAATTATGAGAACAAGCACAAATGTCTGTTTCTACAACAAGAACAAAAGACAAAGCAGCACACAATAAATATGCTGATGGCTGAAAAGAAAGGTTGCAAAGCTGAGAAAAAACAACATGTTTTATGAATTATGTTATTAACCAAACTATTGACTGGTTCTAATAAAATACTGCATGTTGTAGTGAAACAAGCCCCATACGCCTCAGAGTCATTGATTGTCAGATCTACTGTGGTCTTTGCTGGTTTGATTCTGGTCTTCTGTGTGAGTGTCACTCTGTTTAGTTTACTTGTGCATTCATGTTTGAACTTTCTCTGTGTACCTCGTGCCACCAGTCACACTGTCCTCCTCAGAGAGTTCTGCTCCTCTGGTCAGCCACACCCACTTCACCTGCTCCCTGTTCCATTTAGCCCAGCTGTTCTCATCTTCTCATCAGCCTCCTCATCAGTCAGAAATAAGTTGAGCATTGATACATATTTTCACATGCCATCCATTACTCCTTGTGATTGTTTCCTTGAGCTTCCTCATGTTCCTCCAGACATTTTGTAGGATTGTTGCCACGTCAGCATTTAATTTAATTTTAAATAAAATATGTTATTTTTTTGAGCTCCTCTAATCCTCCGAAAACTATGATAGGTTCAGTACCACAGTGCGGTTCACTTCTCTTGGATGAAGTCTAAAGACAGCGTTTTCCTTGCATTTTTAAAAAATTGTTACTTTTTCTTCTGTAAATAAAATAGTAAAAATTTACGTTTGTAAAATTTATATATTTTCATGTCATTTAAATTGCAGCAACTTTCTGTTAATAAAACTTCAGCGTTTTTGTCAATAAAATTCTGTTTTCCTGACAATTTGTTACTTTTGTTAATATTATTAAAACTTCTTTCTGTAAATAAAATTGAAAATTTTGTGTACACTTTAATCCTGAAGTTCTGTTTTCTTCTTCTACGTGGCACACCCCATCTAGATGCTGGTCACAAAATTAGAATATCATGAAAAGTTGATTTATTTCAGTAATTCTATTCCAAAAATGAAACTTGTATATTATATTCATTCATTACACACAGACTGATATATTTCAAATGTTTATTTCTTTTAATGCTGGTGATTATATCTGACAACTATGAAACCCCCAAATTCACTATCTCAGAAAATTTTAATATTGTGAAAAGGTTCAATAATGAAGACACCTGGTGCTACACTCTAATCAGCTAATTAACTCAAAACACCTGCAAAGACCTTTAAATGGTCTCAGTCTAGTTCTGTAGCTACACAATCATGGGGAAGACTGCTGACTTGACAGTTGTCCGAAAGACGACCATGGACAGCTTGCACAAGGAGGGCAAGACACAAAAGGTCATTGTTAAAGAGGCTGGCTGTTCACAGAGCTCTGTGTCCAAGCACATTCATAGAGAGGCGAAGGGAAGGAAACGATGTGGTAGAAAAAAGTGTACAAGCAATAGGGATAACTGCACCCTGCAAAGGATTGGGAAACAAAACAAATTCCAAAATGTGGGAGTAATTCACAAAGAGTGGACTGCAGCTGATGTCAGTATGTCAAGAACCACCATGCACAGGTGTATGCAAGACATGGGCTTCAGCTGTCACATTCCTTGTGTCAAGCCACTCTTGAACAAGAGACAGCGTCAGAAGCGTCTCGCCTGGGACTGATGCTGAGTGGTCCAAAGTTATGTTCTCTGATTAAAGTAAATTTTGCATTTCCTTTGACTATCAAGGTCCCAGAGTCTGGAGGAAGAGAGGAGAGACACAGAATCCACATTGCTTGAGGTTCAGTGTCAAGTTTCCACAGTCCTTGATGGTTTTGTGTGCCATGTCATCTGCTGGTGTTGGTCCACTGTGTTTTCTGAGGTACAAGGTCCACGCAGCCATCTACCAGGAAGTTTTAGAGACTTCCTGCTGCTGACCAACTTTATGGAGATGCAGATTTCATTTTCCAACAGAACTTGGCACCTGCACACAGTTCCAAAGCTACCAGTACCTGGTTTAAGGACCATGGTATCCCTGTTCTTAATTGGCCAGCAAACTCGCCTGACCTTAACCCCTTTGAAAATCTATGGGGTATTGTGAAGAGGAAGATGATGTGATACACCAGACACAACAATTCAGAAGAGCTGAAGGCCACTATCAGAGCAACATGGGCTCTCATAACACCTGAGCAGTGCCACAGACTGATAGACTCCATGCCACGCTGCATTGATGCAGTAATCCAGGCAAAAGGAGCAACAACTGAGTATTGATGCTGTACATGCTCATACTTTCATGTTCATACTTTTCATGTTCATACTTTTCATTTGGCTAACATTTAAAAAAAAATCATTTTCTGAGATATGGAATTTGTGGTTTTCATTAGTTGTCAGTTATAATCATCAACATTAAAATAAATAAACATTTAAAATATATCAGTCTGTGTGTAATGAATGAATATAATATACAAGTTTCACTTTTTGAATGGGATTACTGAAATAAATCAACTTTTTCATCATATTCTCATTTTATGACCAGCACCTGTACAAAAGGTAAGATCGTGATTCAGAAAGATTCTGAACTACTTCTTTAATGTGATGCTTTTAGTTTCTGTTCGCTGTTTTCCTGGAGATGCAACTCTCCCAGTGAGGCCCCGCCTCCTTCAGGTATGTAACTGCCCTTTTCCTTAGCCCCGCCCCTCCCGTGTTGCCCCGCCCCTCCTCTGCTCAGTGGATGCTGCGGGCTCATGAGCAGAACCTGCTCCGAACCGAGAAGGAGGCGCGCGCTCCGGCTGCACTCGCTGTGAAATGCTGCTGTAGCAGCGGGTCGTGTCGCTGTTGACGCTTTTCTCGGACGGAACCAAAGAACCTGGGATACTTTTTGATTCTCTGAAGTCCACCTGAGTCGGAACCGCGAGGACGAGATGGAAAGTGAAAAGTACTTACCGGAGCTTTTAGCGGAGAAGGACACGCTGGACCCGTCCTTCGAGCACAGCCTGCGCCTGCTGGAGCAAGGTGAGTCCGTGTCCCGGACCGAACCGGAGCCCGAACCGAGTGAGAGAGGCTCCGGTTGTGGAACACACCGGTGCCAGAACTGTGTGGGTCTTTCAAGCGGTCCGGTCCGGTTCTGTTTACACCCCTGCAGCCCAGAGCAGGTTCTGAAGCTGCTTACAGAACAATAACTTTAGACCGAACCGAACCGGGTTAAATGAAACTTTCATTGCAACTAGTTGTTAAGCTGAAGTGATGCTGTTCCCTCCTGGTTCGGCAGGTTCTGGTCAGGTTGTCATCTTAGCATGTAATCAGAACCAGTACCTTCAACATGAATCCAGGTGAAACCGAGTTTCTGGGTGGAACCCAGTCTTTGGATCCATCCCAGCTGATGATAGGAAAAGCTCCACTTGTTTCCACTTCTGGACCCACATGAGGGTTCTGGGTTTTGGTTCTGATGGAGCAGCAGCTCTTACTTCCTGAAACACCCAGGTGACCCTGGAAGTGGGCCCTTCAAGAACCACTCCTGAGCTCAGCTGGGAGTCCAGCAAGTTGTTCAGAGAAACAGAACCAGAGGTCCATTCTGAAGCAGCCTGTTGCTCTGTAATAAATTCTGATGGACCGGCCCGGCTCCTGGTGCTGTTGTTGGTCTGACAGCTGGCCCTGAGAACCCCCCAGGCTCCATTAAAGGGTTCTAATGGGCCCCAGTGGTGTGACATCATTTCAGTGTTGTTTAGGTTCTGGACCCACAAACAGCAGTTCTGGTTCTGCTCAGTTATGGAACCAGACCTTATCCAACACACCCTGCTTTTAAAAACCAACATCTGTGTAAAACTGGACTCACAAGGATAAACAGAGCGAGTTACGAAATAAACTGAACGGATGCAGATTCATCAGCGCTGGTTTGAAAAGATGAAAATGAAACGAGCTCAGAGAAAAAGTTGAACATTTTACTTTGAATTGATTTTTAATTGATGAGCAACGTTTGAGTTGAATCACAAGAGACGTTCGTTTGTCCCATAACGAGTCCGGCCCGGTTCTGTCTCCAGCTGTTGGTTCTGAAAGGTTCTGGTTTTATTCAGCTCGCTGCATATTGTTCAGGTACTGATCAGAACCTTGTCCGTGGACTGTTTGTGAGTCTTACAGAACCAGCAGCGGTTCTGCTCAGGTTCTGTTTGCTGCTTAGAAACGACGTGCACACAGAAACAACGTGCACAGAAAACCATCATTTATGGACAGAGCTGAAAACTGACCAGAACCTGATTCATGACCAGTACCAGAACAGTTTGCAGGTTCATCTGGTCACTTCAGAACCTGTTCAGTAACTTTTAATTGGGTCGGTCTCAACAGTTTGGATGGCTTTAATTTCACCAGCAGCTCAGAGAAACAACAGAACTCTTAACGGGTCAGGAGCAGAACTGAGCTCAGTCATCATGAACTTCCAGCTCATCAACAATGAAGGAAGAGGTTTAGACCTGCAAGACCCAGTGCAGGGATTTAATGACCCACTTGCAACAGAACCAGGTCCGGGTGATGGGTCAGAGACCGTCAGAGTTTCATACCTGAACCGTTCTGTAGACACACAGCTGCTGAGACCTGTGACCCCCCCAGGTGTGTGTGTGTGTGTGTGTGTGTGGGGGGGTCAGAATTCAATTCCGTTTTTTTATATAGTGAGAAGTCACAACAAAAGTCGTCTCAGGGCGCTGAACAGAAGGACTGACAGACAGTTCAGTGAGCAGACAGACAGATCTCAGAGCAGACAGATGGTTCTCACAACAGAC